AGCAGCTGAGTGCTTAACCACTATAAAACCATGGCTTCTTTGGCTGGGCTTATTAGGGTGAGATTTCAATGGAAACTTCTGGCTGGGTTTGCAGTGAAGCCAGCAGAGTGAATGAGAGCACCAGCCTCTGCTGGCTGCAAATCGAACTCCCACGCCCTAGTGCCAGGTGTTCCTCCCAGGAGGACGAAACTCCCAGCTGAGGAAATCTCTGGTGGTCTAAATACCTTCTGAAATGGTTAGGAAGGGAAATCATCAGAATACTTTTGAAATTTGAATCCAGAAAAGGTGTACTTACCAAGGAAAGGAAAATGCCTCCCTTCAAATAAACATGAGCTAAATAGGGGAAAAGTTTGAGAAATAATAGCAGAGATGACTGTATTGTTAGGAATAGTTTTGGCTACAAATGGGAGAATACTCAAAATAACACTGGCTTAAATGAGATAGAAATTTCTTTCTCATGTAAAAGCCTAGGAAGGCAATCCCACACTAAAATGATGCACTAGGTGTCAAAGGCCCAGGTTCCTTCTAGTTTGTTACTCCATTGTACATGGTCTTGACCTCATGGTCCAAGATGGAAGCATCTGTATTCTAATTAACAAGACAAAGAAAATACACCAAAAAGCTTTATAGTACTTCTGCTGATATCTCATTGGCCAGTGTCTAGTCATGTGACCCTATCTAGCTGCCAATCAAAAAACCAAACCAGTTGCTGTCAAGCCAATTCTGACTCCTGATGACCTCATGTGTGTCAAAGTAGAACTGTACTCTGTAGTATGTTCAGTGGCTGTGATCTTTCAGAAGTAGATCACCAGACCTTTCTTTCAAGTTGCTTCTGGATAGATTTGAGACACCAACCTTTTAGTTAGTAGCTGAGTGTTTAAGTGTTTACACCAGAAGATGGATGTTTTGGTTACTTCTGTGCTGTTCTAACAGAAAATACTACAGATGAGATGGCTTGAACAAACAGGAGTGTATTCTCTAACAGTTTGGAAGCTTTAAGTCTGAATTCAAAGTGCCAAGCTCTAGGGGCTGGGTGAAAGCCCCTCAACCTTGTACTTCAGCTCTGCTTCCTGCTCCCAGCCCACTGGAGCTAGAGGCTTTTCTTCACTCAGACAGCTGCTGGCTGCTGAGGCTGACAAGCCCAAGTTTGACAAGTAAAAAGGCACAGTCCCGATGTTACCAAACTACATGGCAGGCCATTAATTCAAATCCATTGATAGTCCCAAGGTCAGCAGAACATGGCTACAAGCAGGGTTCAAGTGTGCCATAAGCTAGAGACCATTCCCAACACTGTTTCTTACATATGGGAAGCAGACCACATACCCAAAGCAGCTACTCAGCTGCTTCAATAGATTCTACCATAGAATTAATTACCAGTCTCACAATAGGGAATAACTACATTCAGCTACCCAGCCACTCAACCAGGCTGCAAAAAGGACAAGGAGGCCACATGTTCTGACCTCCTCTAATCCCACAAGAGGAAGGCAGAATCACCATCAATAGCGCAAGGCCTATTCCTGCCAGGCCAGACATGCTGCCTCCCTCCAGCCCTTTCACCAACTGTTCCTCCCAAAGCACCCACCACCTCTCTCCTGGGTTCGATAATTTGCTGC